GCATACAACTTAATAATATCAGAACTTGCAGAATTTCTAGAAAATGCAACCACATTTGGCTCAAGAAACTTCAAAACATTCCAAATTCCTTCATACTCAACAAAGCTAAAAGGCAGATCATGTCTAACAATGGCATGCACAACCAGTTCTCTAAACTTATCTTGAGAAAATTTAGGATTTCTAGTTGACAAAGAACCATTTTTATCAGAGGTAGTCAAGAACTGACCCATAGTTGTTGTTGTCATTTTTGGACACCTCTTGATATGGCGTCTCAAGTTACCCGTGCCTTGTTCACTACCAGCCTTGTATGGCTGACCACATTTCATGCATTCACACATTTCTGGTTTACCCGGCACCTTAGGGAGGCGCCAAAAATGATTCCAAACAATAGAGGTGAGCCTCCTTTTTTTCCTACTTCCATCAACACTTTGTTGTGAAGTACTTCCATCGAATTGTGAATCCAATGGTGGGGGATCTTGAAGTGAATCCTCATCACTGCTTCCTTCTTCTACATCATTTGCAACATTCTTATGTATTGTTTCCATACTACTGCAACAAAGAAAAAAGAATCAATCAACAAAGGTAGCTAGAAAAATCAGGTGAATGCAACACTAACCAAATTAAGTGAGAGGAATACACAATTAACCAAATAAAACAGAATCAAAAGTTCAAAACAGATGCAACTATGTATAATCACGAGTTCATGCTTCCAAAACAGATTGTCAATCTCAATGAAGGGCCATGCAAGGTTGCAGGAGCAGCATCAACTGGAAATAAATAAGGGAAAAACTAGACATTTCACAATTCATTCTTAACTCTGATAAACCACATATCACATTAAGACAAAAGGCTAAATGTATCCCGCATAAATCATCAGTCGTGACGAATACCCGCACTGCTGCTGAGAAGAAGATTTAGAAATGAAACACCAAGAGAGAAATTGAATTGTCGATGGTCACTTACTCTAATTACTGTCCAAAAAAACAGCCAAGGGAGGAGTTGCAGCCGTTGTTAAAAAACAACAATGAAGAAGAACTGAGATTTGATTAATTGCCCGCCGTTGTTGATTAATTTTGCCTCATCCGGCGTTGATTGAGATTTGACATGCGAATTAAAGAAGAAATGAAGAAGAACTGAAGAATTGAGGAGGATATGTTGGTCGGCCGTCGCACCCGCACTGCTGCTGCGTGAAAAAAATAGAGGAAAATGAAGAATGAGGTAGGGTTTGGACTTTTGGCCGGTTGGTATAGTTAGGGTAGGGTAAAATATGTAGTGGAATTACCAATATGCCTATAGGAATCTATAAAAATTACCATATAGCCTATTTAAACGGGTTACCCAGGTAACCCGGCGGGTCAACCCGAACCCAACCCATTTATAAACAGGTTGGGTCCGACCCAACCTGTTTATTATATGGGTCGAAAATCCCAACCCAAACCCGCTAAAATCCGGGTTGGGTTCAGGTTGGGTCACGGGTCGAAACCCAAATTGACACCCCTACTCTTGGATATTGCACAACTTCTTCTTCACAGGTTTGCAAGCTCAAAAGGTCCTTGTATGGACTTAAACAGGCCTCCAAAGAGTGGAACCGTGAACTTACTCATCAGTTATAGTCATATGGCTACACTCAGTCTCCTTATGATCACTTCTTATTCACCAAACCTGTTGGATCAGATTTCATCATTCTTCTTGTCTATGTGGATGATGTGCTTCTTACAGGTTCATCTGAGTCTCTCATTGCTGCTACCAAGGCTCATTTGCATAATCTGTTTACAATCAAGGATTAGGACCAGCTAAATACTTCTTAGGAGTTGAAGTGGTAAGATCAGACACTGGCATTGCTCTTAATCAGAGAAAATACATTCTGGACATTCTTGATTCTACTGGATTGATGGGGTGTCAGCCTATGTCAACTCCACTTCCCAAAGGATTGGCGCTTCATGATTCTCCAACTTTACTTCCTGATCCTGAGTCCTACAGAAGATTAGTTGGGAGGCTTCTTTACTTGGGATTCACCAGACCAGATTTAACACACTCTACTCAGCAACTTAGTCAATATCTTTATGCACCAAGAGAAGTACATTGGCAGGCAGTTTTACATGTTGTGAAATATCTTAAAGGAACTCCATCATTAGGCCTGTTTTATTCCAGCAGCAGTGACTTGCAACTGAATGGTTTTTCAGATGCTAACTGGGGCCAATGTCCACATGGTCATTTTTCTATTACTGGATTCTGTGTCTTCTTAGGAAATTCCTCGATCTCCTGGAAGACAAAGAAACAAACAACCGTTTCTCGTTCCTCCTGTGAAGCTGATTATAGAAGCCTTACTTCCACAGTCTGTGAAATTCAGTGGATTTCCTATCTCCTTTCAAACTTGAAAGTTCCTTATTCACTGCTTATTCCACTTTGCTGTGACAGCAAATCTGTTTTCCACATTGCTGCTAACCCTACCTTTCATGAACATACCAAACACTTGGACATTGATTGCCATGTTGTCAGAAATCAGTACAAAAGCGGCTTCATTTATCTTCTCCATCTTGGCAGTAAGTTTCAACCTGCTGATTTGTTCACCAAGACTTTATGTGCACCTCAGTTTCTCTACTTACTGTCCAAGCTGATTCTTGTTGATCTTCACAATCCCAAGTCTCAGCTTGAGGTAGATCTACGAACTAAAACCGCAATTCCAGCACCTTGAGCTTCAAGGACAGCCGCAGGATGAAGATGATCTCCAAGGCATAGATGCTGATCAGTTAGTGATGGATCATTTGTTGGAACTTGGGTGATGCTGTAAATAGTTTGTTTTGTAGATAATACTGTAAATAAGAATTACTACACTGTAAATAATGATACTATACTGTAATTAGTTAGTATTGTACAGCTGTAATAAGTAGCATTAAAGGTAAAATAGGGTTAACATGTATATATATATATATATATATATATGGATTACAGGTCATTAGCTTGTAAGAAAAGAAATTAATCAAAATCAAGTTTAATCAGAATCAATAGCTGTCTTCTTCTTCTACACGTTTCTGTAACTTCCGTGGAAACCCTAGTAAGTTTTTGAGTAATCACCAATATTTTTAGTTTAAGGCATGATAAGCTTCGTTTATGTATTGTGTATGGCAATAGAAGATGTTAGCATGATTAAATTTTTTTTTTTCCTTTTGGTTTTGAGTACTTGTAGAGTTTGTTTCCAATGAGCCAAAAGAAAGTAGCGTTTTATAACTAATTTTCCACGCATGAAACGAGATTAACCTTCTTTTTTTAAAAAAAAAAATTTGGTCAAACGGCATATAATCTTTCGTGATATTTTGCATTAAAAAATTTTACATAACAGTAGCAAGTAGTTGTGAGAAAATTTTAACTAGTGTAACAAAAAATTTAGTAAGGAAGGGAGATGTTAAGAGATTGATCAAACCCGATCAAGACTTTGGTTACTTGGATCGATCTCTACCCACAAAGCCACAAACATGAAGGTTTGGACTATGCGTTACCTAGTGATTTCCTTTTCAAGGTATATCATTATCCATATATGTTTTGGTTTCTACACTTATGCCCTCTTTGCTGTGACCAAAGTCTTATATACACTTTGATCCAATTAGAAGATTCTTCAAATTCTTGCATGGCATTGGGGGCTGGGTGGGTTTATATATATCTTTCTTTTGGTCATGAGTCATGTGGGAATATATAAGAATAAAATGTGGATGAAGTCTTCATAATGAAGGAAGAAAGCATTTTAGTTTTTTGTGGAAAGAGTGATCACAATCTATGCTTTTTTTTTCCTTTATGCAATTATGTAGATTTATTGAATCACACACAATCCAAAAAGTGAATGTTTCTGTCATTCTGTCGTTCATGCCCATCTAGATCAAAGCTAGATTTCATGTATAAAGGAAGAAATTAGCATAACACGATGGATATTCAAATATGCAATTACATGATACTCACTCCGTCCAAAAAAAAATAGTCCACATTGAGCTTTCAAATTTGTACTAAAAACAGTAAAAACTCAAAACTAAATATAGACTATTTTTTTGGGACAGTGGCAGTAAAAGTTAATCAGGCTCCAAAGGCTCCAACTTCACCCCCACCAAAAAAGAATGCATTGACTAATAAGTAATAAGCAAGCAATATTGGGGCTGAACAACCAGTTCTATAATAAACCATCATAAATAATTCTAAATCAGAAGGGGAAAAAAATAAAATCATACTTACTAATTTTTGTTAAGTAGGATGATTTGCTAGACCGGCATTGCAAAGAAGGTTTTCCGACGATCGAACAGCCTTCTTTCTACGATCAATCCATGCCACCGCTATTTCCACTATCATGCACCAATACCTCAAACTTTCACTCCTCCCACCGCTGGTGACAGGTAGATTTGCAAAGGAAAGAAGATAACCACGACGAACTATGGAGGGAGGCGGAGGACCTGATGATTAGGATTTTGGCTAAGTTCCAAGTCGGTTTCATCGGATTGTCATTGCATTGAAGCAAGCGGGTTTCATGACGGCTCAACAGGATTCTACAAATCCAATTTGCTTCAGTTTCATCGTGATTGGAGCTCGTCAGATTAAATGTAAAATGAATTGAAGTTTCGGGTGGAATTTGCAGGATATTGGTAACGGAAATATTTCAATTCTGGTAAGGCGTTAATTATATGCTTTTTTTCCCCAAAAGGAAAAAGGGGAATTAAATAAAAAAGAAATTTTTTAAAAAAAGTATAAACAAACGGTGTCGTTTTGGGGAAGGGAGTAAAAAAAAGGCAAATTGTCATTTAGTTATCACAGTTTTATTCCTAATTAAAAATGTGACATAAGGCTGATGTCACAAGATGACCATCCAGCTAATCATATTTGAGAAATAAACTGCCCGATTAATCATATTTTAAGAATTTTTGGCTTACCCAGACTTTTATCTTTATTATGCCATAGAAAAACTTTTTATGATTTCTATTTTTCTTTTTTTGGGTATTTTTGATTTTTAGTTTTTTTTTTTTGGGGGGGAAACTATAAAACTTTTATATATATCAAACTGGGACCATATTTACATCCAAAAAGGTCTAAGTACCTACACTTTACACAAACTATTGGACTGCAAAATGTTGCTCTAAAATTCTATGCTCTGCCATAGTCCATTTTTTCCTGCTAACAGTTTGCACTCTCCAAAAAATTTCCTGTTTGATCAGTTGAAGTATACTCTCACTGCTTCTGCGCTTTCCTGTAAAGATACAACTATTTCTCTCTTCCCAGACATGACAAATAACTGCAGCTAAAGTAGCACACCAAATCTTGAATTTCAGTCTGGATTTTCTCTATATGTAACAAGCTTTTCTTCTCCATGCAGTCCATTCCAAAGGTACTTGTAGTCCCAACCAATTCTGCGCCTTTAAGAATATTTCAGCAGTGATCTGACAGTCAAAAAATAGGTGGTGATGACTCTCAAGAGTAGATTGACATAATGCACACTAGGGGTCTACCCCAGTGATGGACATTAGTATCAATCTATCCCTTGTTAAGAGCCTCTCCTTCCAAGCTAGCCATGTTATAAATGAATGTTTTGGCACACTCATTTTAGCCCAGATTACCACTGATTCTGATGTTTTCCTCGCACTTCCTAGCAGTCAGTTGTAGCCTGCTGTAATACTATACAACCCATTCTATGATTTTTTCCATTTCCCCCCTTCAAATCCTTCTGTGCCTTGATCTCTGATTTTGAGAAGCTGCTTCCAGTGCTAACTGGTATCTGGCTTCTTTTCCACTGTCCAGATTGACTGGTTTTTAATGTATATTTCATGCAACCACTTTATCCACAAGGAATCAGTCTTCTTGGCTATGCTCCAAACTTGTTTCAAAATGGCAGCCTGATTCCAGATTCTAGTGTCCCTAATTCCCAGTCCCATTTCACCTTTTCTTTTACAAACTATATCCCAGGCTACCAAAGGTATTGATCTACCACTTTTTTTATAACCCCAAAGAAATTCCCGGCATACTCTAGTTACTTGCACAATCACAGACTGTGGCAAATTAAACATGCAGGCCCAATATACATGCATTGATAATAAAACTGAATTTATGAGCTGGAGTCTACCTGCATATGAAAGATGCCGGGCACTCCAACATTTGAGTCTGGCAATCATCTTTTGGACTAAATTATCACATTCTGACTGCGTGCATTTTTTCAGGAATAATGGAAGTCGCAAGTATCTCATTGGGAATTCACCTTCGTGGAACTCTGTAATTTGGCATATTCTCCTTCTCTTCTCTGCTGTAACTCCTCCGAAAAAGATGCTGGATTTCTTGGCATTTGCATATAAGCCTGTGGTAGCAGGAACTCCTTGAACCGTGTCATTAGACTCTTAACAGTAGATTCATCGGCTTTGTAGAATAACATTAAGTCATCCACAAAGCAGATGTTTGTCAACTTCAAACCTGCACATAAAGGGTGGAATTGGAAATTAGGGTTAGCTGCGATCATTTTAAACGTCCTTGTTAAATACTCCATGACAAGGACAAAAAGCAACGGGAAAATTGGTGTCCCCTTGCCTTAATCCTCGTTTCCCCTTGAAGAAGCCAGTATTAGAGCCATTTATCGCCACTGTGAAGGATGTAGTGGTTACACATGCCAGAATCCATTGTGTGAACTTAGCTGGAAATCCATATCCATTCATCATTTCTTCTACAAACGCCCAATCCACAGTGTCATACACTTTCTTTATATCAATCTTCATCAAACACCTTTCAGAGACATTTTTCCTTCGATAGAATCTAATCATTTCCTGGACTATCAGCACATTATGCAGGATGAACCTGTTTTGAACAAAAGCACTCTGATTTTCATTTACTAGAACTTCCAGCACATCTTTCATTCTCTCACTTAGAACTTTGGAGATGCATTTATAGACCACATTGCAACACGTAATGGGTCTATATTCCCCTGCATTCTTTGGACGTTCTGTTTTGGGGATTAGAGCAAGCACCCGTTGAGTTCACCTGCACATCAGTTTCAACAATTGACCAAGCAGCTTTGAAGAATCCACTGCCAAACCCGTCTGGCCCTGGGGTTTTATTGCCATTAATCTGCCACATAGCTTGCTTTATCTCCTTGGCTGTAATTGGTTTAGTTAAGTCAAGTTGCTGTTGAACATTGAGTCTTTTTCCTTGTTGGTAAACTTCTCTTCCTGATCTGCATCTCTCAGAAGTCTGCCCAAGTTGTTGTTCGAAAAGATTGACAAAATGCTCCTCCACGTTGCTCCATTCTGATTCCAGGGTTCCATCAGGTTGCATATATGACCAAATTCTGTTTTGGACCATTCGTTGTTTCACTCTAGCAAAGAAGTACTCAGAGTTTGTATCCCCCATTTTTATCTTGTCTTCCTTCGCCTTTTGGGATAGAAAACTTTCATAAGCCCTGGATAGCTGAAAGTATTTCATCCTACTGTCCTTCTCTTCCTTTTGCAGAGGTTCATGTTGAGGATTACCATAGAGTCTACCTTGTACCTCTATCAATTCATCTTGAGCCTGCTTTACTCTCACTTATATCTTCGAAAACCTGCTCCAGTCTAGTATTTTTAAGCTTTTCTTCAGTCTCTTCATCTTCTCCACCAATTGATACTGCTTGGTGCCTCTGATTACCTCACTCCAACTCTCTGCAACTATATTCTTGAAGCAAGGATCTATACTCCACATGTTAAAGTATTTAAAAGATTTGGGGCTTTGCTTAACTCTTATATCTGTTTTGACTAGGAGAGGTGTGTGATCAGAAACACCCTCTGGCAATACAGTATTTAAAGAATATTGAAATTTCAACACTCAGTCTCTGTTTACTAGACTCTATCAATTTTCGACATAATTCTATTCAGTCCCATCTGCCGGTTATTCCATGTGTACCGAAAGCCTTGCTGTTTTAGGTCCTGGACTTGCATTCTTCTACACATCTTCTAAACTCCTGAATTTCTACCATTTGAACAGGCCTTCCCCCTAACCTTTCCTCAGCTCTCAGCACATTGTTGAAGTCTCCCATAATAATCCATGCACCAGTGACCGTCTGTGACACTTCTATTTGTTTATCCCATAAAATTGACCTTTCAGTGATACTATTACTCCCATATATTACTGTGAGATAATATACCGAGTCATCCAATCTCTTGACCATGCTATGCACCATTTGGTTTAGTACTTAGTATGATATTGAGTTGAATTTCTTTTTTCCATAATATACAGATCCTCCCTCTATCTTGTGTATCATAGCTCATAAAAGAAGTATAATGACTCCACATCCTGTTCAAATAATCCACCCCTTTTGATCTAGTAAGCTTAGTTTCAATAACACATACTATTTCTATAGTATGAACAGATACCAATCTAGCTAGTTCTTTTTGTTTAATGGGGCTATTTAGGCCCCTAATGTTCCAGGAAAGAAGTGTACTCATTGATTACCTAGATCAGGGGGGAAAATTAATCTTGTTTCCTTCCATTTCTTTGTCGTTCTCAGCCACATTGGTGTTGCTGGAGCTAGCTTCATCCTTATTCTCAAGCACTGTAAACCTGGAGCTGGTCAGATTATATTCCTCATTTTTCTTGGGGCTCTCTCTAATTATCTCAGTTCTGTTATCTCCTGCAGGGATGTCAATTTCTCTCTATTGTGATTGATCTTCTTCCTCAACAACAACTGCTTTCCCTTTCTGAACTTGTCTCCATTCCTTGCCACTTAGTATTCTCTCCTTAACTTCAGTACGTTTAGGAAGAGCTTCTCTGTTTTCTAGTTTTTTCCGGCAGGCTTCTACTCCATGACCGTATCCCTTGCAATGGGTGCATTGAGTTGGCCTCCACTCATAAAAGACAGACTGATGTTGTATAATTCCCAATTCATCTTCAAATACCACTTCCAGGGGAAGGAGATCCTGTATCTCTACATCTATTAATACACGGGCATATTGCACTTTCGTCTTCTCTGTTGTTTCAATGTCAGGCATAATAGGTTGACCCAGGTTACTAGCCAAGCTACTTAGTGATCTAGGATTCCAATACTTCAGCTCCAAGCCATGAAACTGTACCCATACAGGGACATGAGTTACTTCCCTATAGTTGATTCCTTTTTCGATGCTCCAAGGTTTCACAATCACAGGCGTGGCTCCGATATGATATATATTCATATTCAATACATCATCCCTTGCTGCTAGTGTATGGAAACAAATCAAATAAAGACCAGAAGGTAGCAGCAACACCTTGTCCACACAATTCTTCCAGAGGTTTCTGTAAAAATTCTCCATGACTTTCAAGGGAGGATTAGCCCAAGACATAGCTAATTACTGAAGATTCCCAATAATCAGTCTCCATCTGCACATCCTCTGCTTGCATCTTACTGACCTTCACGCCCTCTAGATTCCTTGGTTCAATGAAATCCAATTTAGCTCCTGCTTTTCGAAGCTTGCTTGGATCGAAGTCTGCCCACTTTTGATGAAGCATTTTATTGATATCCTCTTTTGGTTCCGATAGCTCCAGTCTTCGAACTGTGTCACCAAAGCGTTGCAGATCTTGGATTTTTTCTGTTTTACTCCGATCTACTTCCAATCGTTCTGCCAGAGTAGCCTCTCTATTAGGGATTGCTGTCTTCCCCAAATCTTTTTCTCCTGCACTTAATCCTTTTTCCCCATCTTTCATCAATTTATCCGTCAATTGATTACTTACCGGTGTTTTCTCTTCTTTGATAATTGAAATTTTGGTCGCTCTCTTCCCCTTAAGTTTCCCCTTCGCCATGGCAAGATTACGTCATCAGTGGAATGTCATTTGCTTAGAGAGAAAAGCTCTCAGAGGAGAGAAAGCCTAATAGGTGTAGATTACCTCACATGTGCAAATTTGCAAATTTGTATAGTCAAAAAAATTTTTATGATTTCTTTTTTTCTTTTTTTGGGTATCAAAAAAGAAGAAACACATGTAAATTAGCTCACATGTGCGTTTCAAGGTTGTGTAAATATCATGGGGAATATATTGCTTTCACTCTTTCAGTTGGTTTACCGGATAGTCAGTCAACCAAATAGTAATTAGTTCGGTTTTGACCGCTTAGCAATCGGAAAACCGATTTAACTTGAGCCGTAGAAACCAAACTTAGTTCGGTTTGGTCGGGTCTTGTGTCAACCGACATAATGAACAGGCCTATACAAAAGCCGTTAATGAATTGTCTGCGACAACGAAAAAAAAAACACAAACAAAAGGGACAGAGAATTCTTCAATAGAGTCCTGAATTTTCTTCAAGGTGAGCCTTTCTAAGATATCCTTACTCGTTTTCCGCCCGTTCATTTGGATTCTTGTTTTCTTTGAGGGGGAGGTGTCAAATCCATCTGCATGTTCTGAATCTCGCAATTGGGGGGAGTTTTTATGATTTTATCTGTCGGGTTGCTAATCTTTCTCCCTTGGTTTGCGAATCTTTTGGAGTAGAATTGTGGGTTGCTTAATTTTGTTTTTGGCGAAGATTGTGCTTGATTTGTTTGCAAGAATTTTTTATTAAAGAAAGGGGTTGTGGGTTTGTGCAATTTAGATTCTAGTAGATGATCATGATCATGGTTAATGTGATTCCTTTTGTTATTGTTTTTCGCAATTTTTAAGGTGGAGATTTGGACTCCTTTTTTGCTGAAAAGGAAAACTGCGTACTCTGTGCTTAGGTTGTTTGTGATTTTCTGCATTACGCAGAAAAGTTTATAATATGTGCATTATAGCTTTATTGTGAATGCCGCATTAGCAACTCTGTTTTTTCTAGGCAGCAAGCTGTCACCACTGCATTGTGGTGCAACTTCTTAGTCTTTTCTCTGAAGTTTGGTCTGGTTATACACCTCAAGCCACGTCATGCTGGCTGCAGTTGTGCATGTTGTTGCCGACTTTGAAAATCAGGTGTTGTAAAAGCCTGTCCTATTTGACATAATGTTTGATCAGTATGACATCGGTGCATGCTGCCTTATTTAATGAGTGGTGTTGACCTTGTTTTTTCGGCACTCCTTTCGTATGGTTTCATTAGTTCAAAGCGCGGCCGGGATGCCATCCACCCATGAGTCAAAGATAGTTTAGCGTCAAACTTTTCTAATTTTTGAATTGGTCTTTCTTGCTGATGACCTGCCATTGTAACCAAGTTTCTCCATCTTCAAGAATGAATGAATTGGACATTATGCTTCTTCTGACTGTTGAATGGAATGGTGTTCTAGTTTCTAGACTCTTGCATTTATGTGTTAGTTTGTAAGAGAAATCGACCCTGAAACTTTGATTTTTGTGGGCAAAAACTGAGGATCGTTTAAGAGGGGGATATGGCCATTATTGATATGAAGACCTTTTTTCTACCATTCCTCTATTTTTCTTTTTTGCTTTTAGGCATATTACTGACAGTAGTCTCTCTTTTCCTGTTATTTGTAGTTTCCAGATGCATCCTTGGTGAAGTAACAACTGAATGTTGCAGCTCAAAAAAAGAGAATAATCTGCAGAATTGAGCTACATAAGGTTTTCGTTACAGAGGTATTTTGAGACCTGCGAAGAAAACTTAATTGTTGTTCTTCCGTTCAATCCAATTCAAACCTCATGCCAATTACCCATTCTTTTTGCTTATCCTCCGTAAAACAAATCCCATGTCCTCACCTTGCAGTTTTAGGACCCCAAAAGATTCCACATATTTCCCTCGTCAAAAAACCCACAAATTATTGCTCCTTTAGGCCTATCACATTTCAAAGAATACCCACTAAGCAGACTGTTTGTTCATCACAAGGCTCCCAATCAGCCACTCCGGAACCAATTGAAGAACTGCCTCCAAAGCTTCAAGAGATCGTCAAGTTATTCCAGGCGGTTCAAGATCCAATGGCTAAGTATAAGCAGCTTTTGTTTTATGGGAGCAATTTGAAACCTTTGGATGCTCAGTACAAGAGCTGTGAGAATCAAGTTGTGGGTTGTATTTCTCAGATATGGGTTAGAGCCTACATTGACGGTGATGATAAAAATGTGGTCTTTGAGGCCGATTCAAACTCTCTGTTCACTAAAGGGTTGGCGGCTTTGCTTGTCAAAGGCCTATCAGGAAGGCCAGTTGAGGAAATTGTGAAAGTTTCGCCTGATTTTGCTCCGATGCTTGGATTGCAGCAGAAACGTACACGTTCTAGGAATGATGCGTTATCGAATATTTTGAAGTTAATGCAGAAAAAAGCTTTGCAATTGTATATGGAAGCTGAAAAATTTGAGGGCAATGCAGGCAATGAAACATCTGAGAAAAGCAGATCAGATGAGAATGAGAATGAGAGTTCATCATGATTTGGATGGGGATTTGAACCACACTGAAGATGTTGCTGTGAACTCGAAAACACGAGTTTCTGGTGATAGTTTTCTTTGGGGAGTAGCGTCAAAAACCGATTACAAGGGAAATAATTTGTTTGTTCCTTTTTGTTCGTAGGAGGAAGGATTGAATTGAAGGGACAGATTTTCCCTCTGTTGGAGCTGCGTCTCCATCTTTCCATCCTCCTCGATTTTACCCTTTTTCTTTTCATCTGAGTGATTTTTAGCAATAAAAAGCTTTGTTGTTTGTTTCTTCTTCCCAAAAAACCCTGGTACATGTTTGATTTTTCTTTTCTTTTTTTTTTTTTTTTTTTTGGATGTATGTTCATGTAGCTAAATCTAGATGCGGTCCTCCATTTTGATTTGATCACATCATGCAATGTAATGACAATGTGTACAATAAACAATGAGGTACACAGAGGAGCCACGATCCATGCATGCAACGTTATCTTTGAAGATTATTTCAAAGTTGGAATTAGGATTTTCCCGATCTTAATGTTTGTTGAATTGACTGAGTGAGGGATTATGTTGTTTTGGTTGGAGTTTATCCATTTTTGGTGGCATTCAATGGGTGTCCTTTCTTGTTTTGCCTTCTCTTTTTCTGTGATTGCTTTTACCCTGTTATTTGCTAAAAAATGAAACATAGAGAGGTCTCATCTATATATGTATATATATCGACTCGAATGTAACTCAGAGGGTAAAATGCTTTTGTTGGTGTACATTCATGTTTTATTGGTAAATACTGTGCTTCTACACAGATTAAGCTTCTTCAAGATTGCCTTTTGTTTGCCTGATCAGCATTATGAACTATCATGTGATTTCAATGTGCATATGTTCTTTGTTTCAGCTGCTGGAAACATTTCATTTTCCTAGTATTTGAATGTAAGGAATGGCTGTTAGCTCTAAGTACTGGGATGACTGTGTGGACCCTGAGGGTTTGGAGGCCATGTGGGCTGATCCTGATGTCCGAGCTGAATTGCTTAACGTTGGAGAAGCCATAGGATCGAAGATTAATCTCTCACGTGATCCTGATGGTCAAACTTATCTAACACAAACTGATATCAAGTTGTGTGTTACTTAGCCCTGATCACATTACCAAAACTTCTCAGCTCAGTCTTCTGTAACGTGGACCTTATTTGTGTCTCATGGACCATAGTTTCGATGTTTGCTGGCAGAATATGATGGCCATAGTCCATGAAGTATTGTAGGCTTAGTGATTAGTGTTGTTGCTTTCAATTTCTTAAGTTTCTGTACTATTATCTGGTGAATTATGCGACTATGCAAGGATATAATTGGAAGACATGCTTTTTTGATCCTCATAAATCATACCGTTTTTTGAGTGAGGCTGTTGTATCATTATTTTTATTATTATTATTTTGTTAATTATGTTTCCTGACTTTGAGTTGAACTAAATCTTTTCCAGGCTGTAGCAGGATTATTGTCCGAAGGCGTTTTGTTTCCCAGATTGATTCGGTATGAGTGAAGATTAGTTATTTATCCATTGTCAATGTAAGCTGTGGACTGGGATGATATTCCGTCATTGCAAGGGAACTAATTGGTTGAAAAGTTACTAAATATCCATTATGGAGTGACCAAACCTTTGTTCTACAGGACATGCTTTGTGCTATTGCCACTCTGGAAAGTGATAGGCAGCCTCTGGCTACTCAATATAACAAGAAATCAAAAGAGACTATGCTCGGGATCATGCAAATCTTGCCAAAAACTGCAGAATGGTTGGCCAGGTAATATTTGGATTACGTAAATGATAATGCTCTCCCAAACTTAGTATGGAATATTATGTGACTTGTGATAGTTGTATCATGCAGAGATTTGGGTTACAGAAACTATGAATTCTCAGAAAACCCGAAACATTTATACAAGCCTTTTGTCAATGTATATTTTGGCGCTGCATATCTCAAGTGGATATCAACTTACGACCAAAAGTAAGCCAAGTCAGCCTTTTGTTCTGCTATTCTACTTTCACCCTTCTTAGGTTATTTATTTCAAGTTTACGTTCACCTGCTGCTTTCCACAAAATAATGATATATGTCGAAATGCAATTTTGAGCTATAATTCCCTTTCGCTTGCGGAACGTAGCTGTATTCTACACATGTTTTGGTTTCTTTCTTTCAATCTGATGTGGAGTAAACATAAGCCTGTTGCATGTGTGTGTTCTTTTCTAATATTTGATGGTCATTTCAGAGATAGAAGTGAAGAATTTATTGGAAGGGCTTAAAAAGGTGGCACAAAGAAGGCAACTCACAGGTCAACATTGCAGTACTGGAAATGATACATCTCTGTTAAGGAAAGTCTTCCTTCCAGGTATTTTTTCTTGTTAGGCCATAATGCTTCTTCGTAAAATTTTTCTATCACAATTCTGTACAAATGAGTACTGCCCTTGAAAGACATTTTAGATTTATGGTCTTTAATTCTACAAAAGCTTTTATCTGTTATCACTTGGAAAGCAGGAAACTTCATATCCATCGTATCTGTATGATTTGTACTATTTACGGTGCAACACTTGATAGAATTGGCACTCCTCTGCCTACGGCTTCTTCAGCTACAACTCCTGCAGCATCAACTGCGAAAGGTGATGTGATCTTGTATGAACAAATATTTTGGCATCAGTCGTTAATTGACACATTTATTGGTGCCGAAAAGGAATACAAAAACAAAACCTAAGGATTAGCACAATGTTATTTCATGGCCTTATGTTGGCTGCTTTCGGATTGGCTCTTGTTATGATGCGGCAGCTCCAGTTAATACAACTTGGGACTCTAGGACTTCTAAAGAAGATATGAAAGAGCTGTGGAATAATGCTAGTGTAAGTTAAGAATGGACAAAGTCAGGGGAGAAAAAGGGCAAAGTTTGATTTTCTCATGATGTTGAAAAGAGACCTTATCTAACCCGGTAGAACTGCGGGTAAGATCAAGTATCTGCTAAGAAATAGTTTTTGATCTTATGCCCCTTTAATGTTTTTTGAAATTCTATGATTGCATTGTTATGATTGGTTCAATTTGATTTATCGGTTTCTTCTTCTTCCAGGGGGGGGTTTCAGAAATCATTCTTGCTAAACACTTCAACGCTAAAACCTGTAAGTAATTTTGTTTATCGTTGTGGTGATTGCAATTAATGACTTGCTTCGTTAATCGTTAGCCATTAGATATCTGGCTCGTTACCTAGAGTTTTGCTTGAGACCAAATTCAATAATGTCCTTTATTCTAAGTTAATATCGAATGTGTGGATGCACTCTACATATTTGGTTCGTTCGTCCCCGTCCTCCCCCAACCAATTGTAAACCGTCACGCCACAACCTTATTTTTGGCCATTTACTTTTCCGGCCTCCCAGGTGTCTTCCACTCTAGGGCTTCATCACTTCATCAGTTCATCCCAGTTCACAGCCCCTCCAATTCCCCTCCATTGTCTGGCCACTGTGAACGTCTTTCGTGATATCTTTAAGTTTACCAACACTTCCATCATCATCTTCATCTATTTTTATAAATTTTCCCAATCTGTTTGTCGTCACTGATGAACATACAATAATGATATTGAATAAGAATGGTGTTATCGATCTTGCTCATCTCCCCCTGACTTACAAGCGAAAACTACTGCATTCAGGAGGTGGTGATTTTCAGAAAGGGGATTATTTTTTTCCAAGAAGAAATCAATGTGGTTGACCTCTCGGTGAGTTCTTTAATTTTGCAATTGATCTTATTGTGATAGTTCAAATTAGTAATAATTAACTTTTGTACAAGAATCTGTCATTGCCTTGTATTTCGATCTTCAAGTTTGAAAGAATCGCCTGTGAATGGTATCATCTTTGCTGAATAACTTTCTTAATCTCATTTTCCTTTGGATACTGTGTTTGTCTCCTTTTTGTTTGGAATGTGTTAGTGTCTTTTATTTAAAATTATCATCTACATTTGGTGTCCATTTGTTGTTCTGAAGTTTTGATTTTTACAAGCAACAGCTTGTCTTTCTTGAACTGAAGTTTTTTAATTTTAAATTAGTCTTTTTTGCTAATATACTAATTTCAGGTTCTTCTCAATGGATGGCTTAAAATATACAGACTTTATCCAAGAGAACAAGAACTGGTGTGTTTGTTTATTTTAGAATTGAAAAAAAAAAATAATTGGGCCAAATATAAGTGGGGCCACATCAGAGAAAATAATAAAAATTTGACGGGGTTAACGGATTAAGAGAGCCACTGTTAATTTTTAAAAAATTCCGTTAAAAAGACCAATGTTAATGAATAAACGAAAAGATGGTTACTAATTTAGTGAGTCAAAAATTAATGGTGACTAGAAATTGTGAATCCCCATAATTTAGAGACCAAAAAATTTAGAGACCAAAACTATGTTTTGTCCAAACTTAGATGCATTTAAAGTTTGAAAAAAATATTCGATATGAATATTTTCGGATAGATCTCCTAGAGTACTATAAATTTCATATATAATTTGTTTTCTAATTTTACACGGATTGTGAGATATATGCAATACAAGAATGTCAATATAAAATAAATTGATTATCTAATTTCTTAAACTGGATATTCATCGTATTTCAGTCCATACAAATTTAGACATTTTGAAGTTGGAAAAAAAATATTCAATATGGATCTCGTTGAACAGATCTCGACGAGAATAATAAATTTCGTGTGTAACACATTTTTTAATTCTTCACGCTTTGGGAGATATGCTCATTTAAAGATTAGAGATATTTTTTAGAAAATAAAGAAAAAAATAAGGACTAAACTTGCAAATTATAGTAAATTATTTAGAAGAGAGAAAAAAAAAGTAATATAAGGATTAGTAGTACAAAATATAGAAAAGGGTCTACAATGCTCCCTGGTGCACCCAATATGGATTCGATAATTTAGGCGTAGGATATTTTGGTAATTTCCTTGACAAAAAGAATGCAGTTTTGGTGGGAGGAGAAATATGGGGTTGTCTTTGTTTTTTAATCATTCCAAATGAGGTGCCACATATTCTATGTTACGTTCGGTCTTTATTATAGAATATTTTGATTTGTCATAAATTTTGTTTTATATGTTATTTTAATTGATGTAACTTTAAAAAATAGTTAATAACTGCAACCTTAAAAATATATTATTTTCAATAGCAAGAACATATTAAATTAAATTTAAGAAAAATCAAAATAACTAAGGGCACGTTTTAATGCTTAATTACTGAATTAAAAATGCTGAATTCATCAGACAGTTATAAAATAATTAATAAACTAATTTTTATTACTTATTTTTTGTATTACAGTTTTAACACCACTTAATTCATTCAGAGATTTATTTTTCTCTATTTTTATAAAAGAACTTCTTCCAATTATATTCAGCACTTAATTCCAATATTTTGATTGCTTGGAAAGCTAACGATATCAGCGATTTTAAAAAAGGGTAAAATAGTCAAATAAACATATGATTTTCTAACAAAACAAAAAAAAAAAAAAACCTTGAATGTCGTATTGCATTTTGCCCAACGTTAAGAATTTAATCCTTGAACATCAAAACGACGTCGTTTAGTTTTGATGCTCCAATAGGAAATCGTTTTTACGCTGTTCTGTGTTCTCTGCCATAGTGTCATCCCCAAACATGTTCTCCATCATCCAATTCGCATAGCCGGATACCCCCAATTCCTATCATCCAGCAGATTATTGCCCGCTGAAATTCCTCTTTTTCTCTCCGAGTTTTCTCCGGATTTAATAGAGCCGGAGGTGAAATCGACAAAGGTATCGGTAGTGAGGCTTAGGAGCTGGAGGTGGTGCCGGAAGTGTAGTGGGTGGTGTTGCTGGTTGATGTTTTCGCGGTGGAGCTAGGGGGCTTCGGTGGTGGTGCTGTTGGCGGTAGAACTGGTGGTGGGGTGGTCGAGGATTTTTTTTTTTGACGTGGCTTTTCCCTACCTTCGCCGCTTCGAACTTCATCCCCCCGTCGCTTTTCCCACAGAAGCTCGACAAGCTCAAATCTGCTACTGCCAACTCACTCAAATCAGGTTTTGCAATCGTAAATTTCACTTATAAGATCTGATTTTCTGTTGGTTTCATCTGATTATAGATGTTCGTTGATTTGATTAGTCAAATTTCTGTTGAAAACATTCTGAGTCTGATTTAAATGACCTCTACTATAAGTGGATTGTCATGGTCAAAATTATGCACTTTTGTTCTGTTGTTTAGTTGTAAGTGGAACACATTATTATTTCAAATTAAGTTTTTACGCTCACCCTTTGACATAATTTAATCTTTTTATGGTGTTTGTGTATTAGGCATTGGAAATCTGAAGCTGGAGGGATATTGTCTGCCCTGTAAATGCAATTGCATTCCACCCTGCGTAAGTACCCCCTCCCTTTTCACCTGTTGATTGGGTTTCGGAGGTTGGATGCTTTCACATTGGATCCACTTACCCTATCTGCTTTTATCCAAATTTCTGATTGGACTGGATTGGATTGCATTTGATCCCGTCTGTCCCCTTAATATTCTCAATATGAGATCTCTATCGATCTGGTGTTAATACAAGATTGATCCTTATTGGATGTTTAATACAGGAAAAAGGAGCAGTTTGATGCTATTTTAGAATGAGCAGCTACGGCATTAAATGGCCTCTGCCAGCAAGATCTCAGCATCGACTGCTCCTTGCAGTTAGCATTTGCAAGATATTTGTTGCATTGTATGCAACATGAAGCTATTTTAGGTCTAGTTATGAATCAGGCTGTGGCAGGGCTTGTATGGATTTTGTTTTCATCTTCATTTTGGGTTGTGCTATAAAGATATCAAAGTTGTATTGGAAATGCAGAAGGTAAGTAAACATATGTTAGTTCAACATAAATAGTTACTTGATGCTTGGGTTCAATAGGAAAATGCAGATTAACTAGCTATTAAAGGTTTCAACTTTTCTACTTAGGTGGAGCACAAACTACCAGAGTTGGAAATAGCTACATGATTACACCATGTTTTTTTTTTATGCTTTTTTTTTTTTGCTGACATGGGTGCTTTTGTTTCACAATCTGCGAAAAAGTTTGGCCCTAAATTTATTTAGAGCTGTTGAATCTCTTAACTATTGTATCTCAATTTGCATATTTATGTCCATCGTGATTTGCATATTTGAGTGAATAGATTCTATAATGAAGCAAAATTTTTGCTTCATTATTCTTCGCTTCCTCTAGAGCCAAGTTTAAATTTTTATTTAAATTTTGAGACACTGAAGATTGGGAACCTGCGTTGTCCAAAGTAAGGAAAACTTTGCCTCTGTATTTTTAGTGTTCCAGAAATTCTAAATAAATCACTTAAGTCTTATATATGACTACATTGAAGCAGAATTTGGTATATTTGCTATCTGAACATTCTTCTTTGGCTGCATTTCATGCTAGAGATGCAAATGATATTTTTTTATGACCTCACAAAGTAAAATCCAGTGTGTTTTTTGTTTCAAAATCATTAGTTGTCCAAGATATGAAAAACATGATATCTAGAATATTTTACTGACTTAATAGAATAAGAAACATGAGAACCGCCAAGAATGAGAAATATGAGCACTGCCGAAGAGAATGAGAAACATGATCTTTGTTTTTTGGCTTGAAGAGAAATTAGAAAACAAAATCTTTAACACTTCTCGCACAGTTTTGCTGTTTGTTTTCTTCTTCTCTGATTAATGGGGCAGAAAGAGCGCCTCATTGAGATAATCGCAGCCCGGGCAGTGCAGAAAAGAGACCAACCGAACGGTATGTGTTCAATTTGGGTTTCAATCAGAAGGCATGCTTGAAACAGTTACTGAGCTTAAGTTTAAGAATCAAATTCCATTGAAACCTGTTATATAAAATAATTACTTCTTTTATTTTCTGTCTCAATTTTTTTCATCTTTCTCATCCGTATTTTAGTTATTTTCTGTCCTTTTTGACCTGTGTCTTTCTTAATAGTTGGTGCTTCAGAGCTGCCAGATACTAATGAGATCAGTCAATTTTCACTGGCCATAACTTGAGATTCCTAGCTCTGATCTAGGAGTCCTTGATATTTGAAGAAAGAACACTTTAAGATGCTGCTTGCTTTGTAGATGCTGTAAATATGAGTTTTACTGCGGTACATATTCATACATATTAGTTGATTACTTAGACAGAAATGTACTGTAGTCTAGAGAGGGCATATCTATAAATATACTAAGGCGGCTGATTAAGTCGGCTAAGACACTAGTATTTATTGTGTCTGATTAGGTCATTAGCTAAGTAATCTGTGTGTAAACATTTTACATACTTTTACAGAATAATCAAGAAGATTGATTCTTCCCCAAATCCTCATGTTGAAAACCCTCACTGCCTTGCCTTCGATTTGTTCTTGATGGTATCAGAGCAGGTCCGTCCTACCTGATAACTGATTCCGCTGCACAAACAAATTGTTGAGATAAAATCCTTGTGAAGTTTTCTGGAAATTGCTGAGTTCTTGAAGTTTGATGATGGCGG